ACAAATTCCTGTGCCAGAGTTTGCGATTGCTGCCATAGTGACGCCAGGGAGGAAGATGCTTGGAGAAAGCCAGACATACCTGGAAAAACGAATTTCATTAAAACCAACCATTAGCAAAATATTCCTACTCAAAGCCTGAGTTTGCCATTGAATGCGTTTCCTGCAAGATGGAGCTCCTGTTTGCAGCACTCCTTGGAATTTATACATCTTCCCAAGAGTTTTTGTTAGGAATAGGTCTTTTTTGCTTCAAAGTTAAATATTACCTTTGCTCAACTACTGGAGAGTTGGATCACTTGCGTGGGTGTCGGTTGGTGGATAGCCTAGTTGAATCAGGTCAAGTGAAACCATGATACCTAACATGGTGAATTCAAGTTATCCTTCATAAACATGCATACACGTATTCCGTCATGTGTTTCAATGGAACATGTGGTATCCATTGCTTGTGACTCTCTTTTCACCACTTCTTTCATGAACCGTGCCCATCACATTCGGAGGGTGCTTGCAGAAATTGAGGGCTAGACTGCAACGCTTCAGGTCGCCCGGTAGATAGTGGAGACCTGCTATTAAAATGCATAAGCCTGACAAGGTGTAGCCATGAACGGACCATAGATAAGACCAATCAGGAAAATCGAAACCTGGGAGACTGAAAACTGCATGGTTTAAACAATAACCAGTCTACTAAAGGGTACTGATCGCAATAATTTCCGTGTATTTCACCCTCCTTTTCATCATCATCAGAGTTATTATCGAGCAAAGGGAAAATAAAAATGTTGCTCCCTTTCCACTTCACAATGCTAGCTGCCGTTAATCCTTAGGAACAATTGCCCGAACAAGAAGTTGGCTCTTTTATCCGCCTCATTTCCTTTCCTTAGTAATCAAACTCATCTAAAAGGCACATAAAAATGTCCCAAAAGAGCAAGCAGTGATCAAGTGAGACTACTGCTTCTAATTCTTTGCCTGTACTTTCAGAAATCATGTTTCTGTTGCAGTATGACACGCATTAATAAGTAGTGTCCGATTGCAATCCTACCTTAGGTGATTGTGTCGACTGATTTGCCACTTGCAGCATGGATTTTGTAAAATACTTGAACAAGTTTTAGGCTTGTAGACGAAACTAGGGCACTTTTTTTCGACATTTTTTCGAGGTGTTAACCTCTAGGTTACAGTAACTAGGATTTAAGAGTCACTACTACGAAAGGTCTGTAGTAATGAAAAGGCATGACACCCGTTATTTTCTCTAAATTTTGATTTTTACAGTCAATTGAGCACTTTGTTTTATCCCCTTGATAAGAATTGCAGGCAAGATTAGGAAATAATTTGTGCGGCCTAATTATTTCATTTTGAGCATGTCATCTGGCCTTAACAGTAAAAGAAGTACATTTCTCCCACCATCATTAAAATGGGTGGGATTTGAACAACGGCAGTTCAGATTACTAATGAAAACTACGGTAGTTTAAAATCAAATTTTATTTGATATTTGGGTGTGAACGGAAAAACGCCACCATGAGGTAGATTGAAAGACAAGGTATTTTACTCAGCCACTCGCTTTAGCAGGGCTTAGGACCACAGGTGCTTTAGAAGCTATTCACTTAATTACTGAACAGACAGATGGAAAGCAAATGGTTTGTAAGAGTATTTCACTGAATAAACTTTACACGTGGTTTTCTTCACCTTTCACATTGCGCAAATCATCCAAACGCATTAAATTACAAGGTAGGTCTGCTAGTTTAAATATTTAATTTCGCTTCCTCATTACTGCCGAATACACTTAAAGGAGTGTTGAATTTTATTAAAACAGCAATCCATCTCAAAATGAGGAGGATTTTTGTCATTTTTCACAGCTTATGCGAAGTATGGTATTGAGGTACACTTCTTAATTACAAGCTCATGCATCCTAAAAAGCACTTGCAAATTTTAACAAGTAAATATAAAAAGGTTGGTTGAACCAATAAAATTAAGGGTGGTGAATGTGGTTTTATTACTGTCATATTGTATTTCAGACATTTCATCAACCTAATAACTTATGCCCTCAATCTCAGTCCTCATGACAACATTAATTTAAAAAGTTTTGAGTTAAACTTGTGTTGAATAATATGGTGTTTGAAACCAACTTCATACCTTTGTTTAGTCAATTTGGCAAAGTTACCCCAAGGTCAGCGCGCACTTAGCTGACTTCGCTCCCTCCTTAGGATAATTTGCTTTTTAAAAGAATTCCAATGAGCCTTTTTAAAAGGAGATGGCAACTGCACCAATTAAAAAAGGAATTTGCGGATTATAGGAAAAGCATTATTAAGGAAAAGTACAAGGAGGTAAGAACCAATTCTATTCCAATGTGTTAATGGACTTGGTTTTTGCTCGCAACATGATTAATCAGAATTAAAATAATTATACTTTTGGGAGATATTATCTCTTACTTAAGGACAAATATGCCTTCAAGTAGGTTTTACACCTATTCGCAAATTGCTGTATCTGTATGTGTTGCTATTCTTATATGGCAATGCGGACCCATTGCTT